AGAGGGCAAGGGCTGCAGACAGATCCTCTGAGTTGGCCCTGCGGATGCCTCTGGGCGATCTGGGCGGCCCTGGGGGCGTGAGAGACCAGAGGTAGGACTGCTGTTGGAGCAGTGCCTTTGTTTTGGGGAGCGGGGTGAGGGAGACCTTGCAGCAGGAGGGTCTTAGAGTTCCAGCAAGGGTGGGTAAAGAGAAGCAGAGAAAAGAAACTTCCTTCACCAAACATATATTCTCTCTCTTGCGAGCCCAACAGAGGAGAAGCAAGACTTTTGTGACACTCAGGTGGAGAGGGCGTGAGGAGGAGGCGTGAGGGAAGAAAGCGCCCTTAGAATCCATGCCCCCGGGGCTCAAAGGGGAAAGTCCAAAACTCTGAGTCACAACTAGTCTCTTAACATCCGGGCCACCCTGACTTTTGAATGTCATCACAGTCCAGGCGGCCATGAAACTGATGGACTTGTTGCCCCTCAGACATGTCTTACCCATTCCTCACCCTGGCCATGTCCACACGGGCCCCCCCCCCCCCGCCCCGTCAGAGTGAACCAACTGGGGAGAGAAAAGGGAGCCCCCTGTGGTGAGCTATCTTTGAGGGCCTACTGAGTTCCGACCCCAGCTCTACCCCTTACCAACCGAGCGACTTGGAACAAGTTATTTGGCCGTTGGGCCTCAGTTTATTGCATCTGCAAAATGGGGTTTCCCTCCCCGAGCCTCATTCCTTGGAGACAGAATTGGCAAACTCAGCAGCCGGCTGCTTTAGCAGGAAGCAGGGGAGGAGCCAGGGGCCAGAGAAAATCAGGAATGGGTGTAACGTACCCAGATCTCTAAGCGTCTGAAAGAAGTCTACCAGACCCACAGTGGAGGAGATGTGGCGGAGGATGGTGGAGATGGCCCTGGAGCGGCCGTGGGTCACCCCTGAGCGAAGGCTTCGAGGCCTTCCTGAGGCCGATCCTGTGTGCTTTGGCGCCCTCTACTGGATCGATGTGGTACACGCACAAGGCTTGCCGCGGTTTCCCCCACATTTTAACCCGGCTTTTTCTCTTCTCTCTGCACCACCTGCCTGTAAGAGACACCCTAAAAACCGCAGGCATGCTTGAGCCATGACATCGTGGGCATCACGAGAATCACCTCCCAAACACCGCGAGGGGAAGGGCTTCCTGACACACGGTGATCATATTTGTCTGATCCTGGGCAAGTGTCAACGTTGGCTCATTGAAATTTGAGAAGGGAAAAGAAATAGCTTCTCCAGTTGTCTGTGTATCTGACTTTTATTGTTAGCTCTCGGGATCCACGTCCGGGGTCCTCAGAGTTTCTAACTCACCCACCAACCCAATGTCACAAGCCTTTGTAGGGAATGGATGATGCAGGGAACCGTGAAAATGAGTGGGCCAGAGTCCTTCCTTCCTTCCTTCCCTCCCTCCCTCCCTCATGCAGTCAGGGTTTCTGGAACAATCCCCCCCCCCCCCCCCCATGGAGGCAGGGGTTTTGGAACAAACCCCCCCCCCCCGCCCAATTCTGAGCACAGCACCAAGGCAGCTGTGGCGTTAAGCTAGGCGCCCAGGCTGCGAAATCAGGCAGACATGGGGCTGAGTCCCAGCTTCGCTTCCTACAAGCTTCATGACACTGAACACATTTTTTTACTCAGTTTTAAGTCTCAGTTTTCTTCTGCCTTGTTAAAACAGTCAGGGATGATACAGCAGCTCCCTCATAATGCTGTGTTGGGGACCGAATGAGACCATGTAGTGAAGCTCAGCTCTCAGAGAGGCCCCTGCCGCTCCGGACACATAGGGCGGCCACCGAGTCTGGGAACAGACGTGAAAGCATAATAGCTTGTTGACATTTCGTTGCAATACGTCATGTAGTGATATTGTCTGTTTCCAGACTTTACGGCCACCCTATGTCTCCCCTGCCCTGGATGAGTTTTCAAACTAGACCCCTAGTTCTCCAACTGTGGTGCCTGGACCAGAAGCATCAACAACCCCTGGAGGCCTGCTGGTAATGCACATTCTCAGACCTTCTGAACCAGAAACTCTAGGGATGGGGCCAAACGATCTGTTTTAACAAGCCCTCCAGGTGATTTCAGTGCACCCTCAAGTCGGTGAACCACCAATCTAGGGAAAATGACACACATGTAAACAATCACAATACAGGTGGGCTTCCCTAAAGGCGTGATGTCATGGGCAGAGTTTTAAAGGAAAAGCAAGTGTTCACAGGTGGACACAAGCCCTGTGAGAGCAGAGATTAGCACTTGCAAAGGCTGGGAGGCACAGAAGGGAGGTGTGTGTTGAGGGAACCACAAATGATCTGGTCTGGCAAACTGGGGAGTATGGGAGGTGAAGCTAGAGAAAGAAGGCAGGAAGCCAGATTATGAAGGCCTTTCAAGTGCCTGAGTAAGGAATTCAGATTTTTTCCTGTAACTGATGGGAAGCACGAAAGGTTTTTAATGCAGAATGATGTGACCAGATTTGCATTGTAGAGAACAAGCATTCTGGCAGCAGTCTGGCCTGGAGGCAGGGAGATCAGTTGGGAAGCTGCTAGAATGATCCAGGTGAGAGCCCATGTGGGCAGGAACTCAGGCTGCGGCCATGGGGTGAGATATTTCGGAGAAGAACCGACAGGCAATGGGGCGCCAGCCTGTCTCTGAGGGTTCTGCTCTGGTGGCGCTTCTGAGAAAGATGGAATCGGTGTTGGCGAGGAAGAGGGGATGAGTTCAGGACCGGGCATACGGAGCCAGGGCAGCTCAGGATGTTCCAGGCTGGCAGCTGGAACAGGAGTCAGCCATGCCTCTGTTGTTTATCCCCCAACATCTCCCATTATTTATTCCAGCAAATATCTTAGATTCCTATCATGCGCCAGCAGGGTTCTAGGACATGGTGGAACACGAAATAGCCAGAATCTGCTCTCAGGACTGACGTGGCAGTGGGGGGACACCAGCAATAAATAAGCAAATACAGAAACAGCAAACTTCTGGCTACCTGGCAGGTGGTATGAAGAAAAGTAAGAGGGTCTGGGGGCGCCAGGCTGGCTCAGTGGAGCATGAGACTCTTGATCTCGGGGTTGTGAGTTTGAGCTCCACATTGGGCATAGAGTTTACTTTAAAAAAAAAAAAAGTAAGAGGGTCTAAGGAGGAGCAGAGTGGGGCAGGGAATGGGGTATCAGGAAGGGTCACTCTGACAAGGTAACACTTGAGCTAAATGATACATAGGTGCCAGATACACAAAAACAGGAGGAAAGTGCTCCCAGGCAGAAGGAACAGCACATGCAAAGGTCCTGAGGTAAGAATGAATTTGGCACAATGGAGGGAAAGATGAAAATCGCCATAGCTGGCCAGTTATGGAAGATGAGGTCAGAGAGGGTCAGGGCCAGGCTACAGCAGGTGGTCCGTGTTCAAGGCCAGAGGAGAGGGGGTAATACAGGTGAAAGGACCTAGTAGATGGTCTCACGCACCAGATGTACATAAGGAGTATGCAGACGGTATCATCAAGGAGAGAAGAGGAAATAAATCTTAACTGCAGCAAGGATTTCGGTTCAATTTCAGGGAAAGCTCAGGCCATAGGAGTCATGTCATATCTGAACAATCTCCAAAGCAGAGAATTTGTCCATTGTGTTTAACAGGGGCACCTGGGTGGCTCAATCGGTTAAGTGTCTGTCGTGGGCGAGTCCCGCATCGGGCTCCCTGCTCAGTGGGGAGCCTGCTTCTCCTTCTCCCTCTGTCCCTCCCTCTGCTTGTGCTCTCTCTCTCTCTTTCTGTCAAATAAAGAAATAAAACCTTAAAAAAAAAAAAAAAGAATACGGGCGCCTGGGTGGCTCAGTCGTTGAGCGTCTGCCTTCAGCTCAGGTCATGATCCCAGGGTCCTGGGATCGAGTCCCACATCGGGCTCCCTGCTCCACGGGAGGCCTGCTCCTCCCTCTCCCACTCCCCCTGCTTGTGTTCCTGCTCTCACTGTGTCTCTCTCTGTCAAATAAATAAATAAAATCTTAAAAAAAAAAAAAAAAAGAATATGGTTAACAGCCAAGCTGGCGTAAGTGCTGGCTGGTCTCAAGGCAGGGGATGGAAGGATGAGCTCTCCGGACGGAGGAAAGAAGATTTGGAAGGAGAGCAGGAGGGGAAAGAGGTGAGGAGGGCCCTCCGTCCGTGGCCGGGCCAGGGATTCCTCTGGCGGTGCCCACGCCCCCAGCTGTCTGCACAGCCACGCTCTCCCACCTGTAGACTCCGAGGCCAGACCAGGCACAGGCCTGTGCACGTCGAGGCTCGCCCGTGGGAACTAAGCCAGGACCCAGCCTGCCGGGGAGATGGAGAGACCCGGGCCGATGCCGAGGGCAATGAGTCCGGTCGGGTGGACGTGGACGACCCCAGCCCAAAGAGTTACCTTCTGCTTCCAAGGTCACCTCCGGGACACCTTCCCCAGGCGCGCAGTCAGCTGCTGAGAGCGCCAGCTACCCCGGCCCATGGAGCAGCGTGACCAACCCGCAGAGAAAAACAGAGCACCGCACACACCCCTGCCACCTCCACGATCACACAGGCCCCAGCCAGGAGAGCAGGAGAGATGGGCTGGGCCTGGCCACCTCCCGGCCTGCCTGTCTGTGCACCCTCACTAACACCTTCCCTCCACCTGGCTCCACTTCCAGCCCCTTTGGCCATCCTGGTGCTCGGGCTCCTTCCTCTGAGCCTTTGTCCCACGTGGGTCTAAAGCAGCCTCTTTCCTTTATTTGCTGAGCTATCCCCCCCGCCTTTTCAACCCAGCCCAACACTCCCCTCATCCACTCCAACCCGGAATAAACTTCCCATGACCGACAATGGCTCTCCCAGACCAGCAGAAACACACACCCAGCTTTCTCTGCCACGTTCAGAAGCCTGGAGGCCTCCTGGCCATTCACAGACCACCCCCCCCAAGGCCTTCAGCGCCCGAGCAGACCCTCTAAGCACCTCCCCTCCAATGCAGCCATCAAGGACAAGGACAGCAGTAGGCCCAACAGTCAGACCAGAAAGAAACTGCATCTTACTCACTTGATGAAATACACAGCTCCTTCCTGGGTAGAATCCATCTCCCAGCCCTTGGGCAATCCTGTGAGGAAGCAAAATCACATCATGACTCTCTCTTCTCAGCCCCACAAACCCGATTTGCACACAGGAGGGATGGGGCGGGGAGAACTAGGAAAAATTCACAGACAAGCCAACAGTGCTCAAGCCAACCATGTCACCTTTTTGGTCCATTATTCCTATCCGTCTGATTCCAGCAAATAATAAGAGCGATGGCAGTGAATGGGACGCCCCCTGTCTGTGAGCAGCGAAGTCACCAAGTGGATCATTGCCTTGCACAGTTTGCTCATTCACTGGACAAGCTTTTCTTGAGCGGCTCCTCTGGGCCAGGCCCTGCGCCAGCCCCGGGGATGGTTGCCCGGGCAGGGCGCTCAGGGTCATCCCACAGCCCCCTCCCCTCACATCACAGAAGCACAAGGGGGAGCCAAGGTGGGTCACTTGCCCCAGGCCTCACCGGGGATCAGACCAGGACTCAAGCCTGCAAACCCCAGCCCAAATTATCACCTCTAGCTTCTGCTGCTTCCAGACAAGATGCTGAGGACTTAGGAAATCAGTCCAGGGAAAATGGAGAGACTTTAAAAAAAATTTTTTTTAATTGACATATAATTGACACATGACATTATATTAGTCTCAGGTGTACAGGGTAATGATTTGTTATTTGGATACATTGAGAAATGATCACCACAAGACTAGTTACCGTCCATCACCATACATAGTGACAATTTTTTTTCTGGTGATGAGAACTTTTAGGATTTACTCTTTTGGCAACTTTCAAGTATGCACCTTCAGTATTATTGACTACAGTCGCCGTGCTGTACATTATATATCTATTTATTTTATAATTGGAAGTTTGTACCTCTTGACCTCCTCCACCCATTTGGCTCCCCATCAGCTCCCCTCTCCTCCAGTAACCACCATTCGGCTCCATTATCGATGAGTTTGGTTGGGTTTGTTCATTTGCTTTGCTGTTTAGATTCCACATAAACGTGAAATCCTATGGTATTTGTCTTTCTTGTTTCACCTAGCACAGTTTTCTCCAGGTCCATCCTTGCCGTCACAAATGGCAAGATTTCATTCTTTTTTATGGCTGAGTAGTATTCTATGGGATATATCTACCACATCTTTACACATTCATTCATCAGTGGACACCCAGGTTGTTCCCCTGTCATGACTGTTGTCAATAATGCTACAATGAACAGGGGTGCATGTATCTCTTTGAATTATTGTTTTTGCTGTCTTAGAATAAATACCTAGCAGGGGAATTGCTGGATCATAGGGCAGTTCTGTTTTATTTTCTGAGGAGCCTCCACACTGTTCTCCACAGTGGCTGTCCCAGTTTGCATTCCCACCAACAGTGCAAGGGAGTTCCTCTTTCTGCCCTTCCTCGCCAACACTTGTTATTTCTAGTCTTTTTGATAAGAGCTCTTCTAACAGCTGTGCTGTAATATATCATTTGGTTTTGACTGCACTTTCCTGATGATTAGTGATGTTAAGCATCTTTTTTCTGTGCCTATTGGCCACCTATATGTCTTCTTTGGAAAGATGTCTATTCAGGTCTTCTGCCCCCTTTTTGATCAGATAGTTTTTTTATTTTGGGTTTTTTGTGTGTTTGCTTTTTGGTGTTTTTTTGTTTTTTGTTTTATTGAGCTGTAGGAGTTCTTTATATATTTTGGATAGGAACCCCTTGTCAGATATATGATTTGCAAATATTTTCTCCCATTCTGTAGGTTGCCTTTTCATTTTGATGGTTTCTTTTGCTGTGCAGAAACTTTTTAGTTTGATGCAGTCCCACTTGTTTATTTTTGCTTTTGATGTCAGCTCCAAAAAATCATCACTGAGACCAATGTCAAGGAGTTTATTGCCTGTGTTTTCTTCTAGGAATTTTATGGTTTCAGGTCTTACATTCAAATCTTTAATCCATTTTGAGTTAATTTTTGTGTATGACGTACAATAGTGGTCTAGTTCCATTCTTTCGCATGTAGCTGTCCAATTTTCCCAACACCATTTAAAGAGACTGTCCTTTCTCCATTGCATATTCTTGCCTCATTTGTCATAAACTAATTGACCATATATGCTTAGGTTTATTTCTGGGAGTCCTTGAAATAAATACCATTTGATCATGGTAAATGGTCCTATTAATGTATTGTTGAATTCAGTTTGCTAATATTTTGTTGAGAATTTTTGCGTCTATGTTCGTCAGGAATATTGGCCCGTCATTTTCATTTTTCATGGTGTCTTTGTCTGGATTTGTTATCAGGGTAATGCTGGCCTTGTAAAATGAATTTGGAAGCAATCCCTCCTCTTCAATTTCTTGGAAGAGTTTGAGAAAGATAGGTATTAAATCTTTGAATGTTTGGTAGAATTTACCAATGAAGCCATCTGCTCCTGGGTTTTTGTGGGGAGGTTTTTGATTACTGATTTAATCTTCTTACCAGTAATCACTGTATTCACATTTACTGTTTCTTCGTGATTCAGTCTTAGAAGATGGCACGTTTGTAGAAATTAAGCCATTCCTTCTAGGTTGTGTAATTTGTTAGCATATAATTGTTCATTGTATGTCTTACGATCCTTTGTATTTCTGTGGTGTCAGTTGTAACTTCTCTTTTATTTCTGATTTTATTTATTTGAGCCCTCTTTTTCTTGGTGAGTCCAGCTAAAGGTTTATCAATGTTGTTTATCTTTTCAAATAACCAGCTCTGAGTTCATCTTTTCTATTGTCTTTCCAGTCTTTCCAGTCTCCATTTCATTGATTTCCACTCTGAGCTTTGTTATTTCCTTCCCTTCTGCTAACTTTGGGCTTCGTTTGTTATTCTTTTTTCAGTTCCTTTAGGTGTAATTTGGATTGGTTATTTGAGATTTTCTTGTTTCTTGAGGTAGGTCCGTATTGCTATGGACTTTCCTCTTGAAGCTGTTTTTGCTGCACTACATAGATTTTGGTATGTCGTATTTCTGTTTTCATTTGTCTCAAGGTATTTTTTTCATTTCTCCTTTGATTTCTTTGTTGACCTATTGGTTGGTCGGTAACACATTGTTTAGTCTCCAAATATTTATGATTTTTCTGGTGTTCTTCTTGTAACTGATTTTTAGTTTCATACCATTGTGGTCAGAAAAGACATTGACATTATTTCAATCTTCTTAAATGTACTGAGACTTGTTTTGTGTCTTAACATATGATCACCCCTGGAGAGTGTTCCATGTGCACTGTAGAAGAGGGTGTATCCTGCTGGTTTGAGGTGGAATATTGGGTATATACCTATCAAGTTCATTTGGTCTGATTTAAGCCCTATGTTTCCTTATTGATTTTCTGTCTGACTGATCTATAAAAACATTTTTTAATAGCACCCCTGAAAAAAATTATCCACGGAAATGCTCAGAGTGGAGAATTGCAGACTCACAGAGTGAGCAAGAACTGAACAGCTGAGGAAGCTGACCACAGCTCAGAGGTGCCCGGGCAATCCCTACAGGCGGCGGGAGCCCCTGCTGGGCAGCTCCAGAGAGGCTGAGCACCTGTCTCCGAAGAGGGCTCTGTTGGGTACCATTTTGTCCTACCCATCCTCCCCCCAAAAAATCCTGCCTCCCTGGCAAACAGGATTCCTCCACCCCGAAGCAGACGGGGAGTCTTCTGAGAAACCCGAGGGAAACCCCTGTCAGAGGTGGGGCCAGGCAGGGCACTGGTAGAGATCATTGCTTTCGGGCGAGCAAGAGCCCTGCGGCTGACATATTGCAAAACGGGTGTGGCTTCTCTTGACAATCACCGCCACCTTTCTGGTCAGGCCGAACATCTGCCTTGTGTGTGAGGTTTTATAAAACACAGCTATTCGCTCTTGGTCTGAACCTCGCCCACCCCATCATCAGCTGCCTCAGGGCACAAGCCGCTGCCGAGCACAGCCTGCGTTCTACAGAGTGGCGGGCGCAGCTGTCAGCACTCATTTTACTCACCCCTATTTCCATGTTGCCGTTGATGGTGACCCTACTCTTCAGTGCGGCAGGAAAGCCAACGAGCCCAGCTCCCCTCTCAGGACCTGGTCCATAGAAATTATAACACCAGCTGCCACTTAATGTGTCCTTCCTCTAAGCTACACATTTTACCACTGTTAGCACATTTAATTTGCACAATAACAGTATATAATGGGCATCAGCTTGAACACTTTTATCGATGAGGAAACTTGAGGCCCAGAGAGGTTAATCAACTTGCTTAAGGTCACACAGGAAGCGTCTGGGCTGGGATGTGAGTCTGGTCTTCTGCTTCCAAAGCTGACATTCTATCTTCTGTGCTGCTCCATAAATGCTATTTGTTCCCCTCCGTCCCTGGGGGAGGACGTTCCCATTCAGAAGGGCGTGGGTTGGCAGTCTCCCCAAGTAGAGGGATCCCCATTGGGTCAGAATCATAAATAATCCTGCCATTGTGATGTGCTTGGGAAAGAGGCCAGCGTGGATTATGTCCCCTGCCTTTTCCAGCAACTTCCCTCCACACTGCCCTCTCCGCCCGGGCAACACCAAGAGTGCTTATATTCCTGTCCAGGCGGAGTGCCCGCGGAGACAGCTGCCCTCCCGGCAAGCTTCAGGGGCACCTTAACCCCTTCCCAGCCTTGGACAACCACTTGGCTGAAGCCCCAAATAAAATAATTGGCATGAAGGCTTTTATTCATCTTCTAATCCTCCCTAGAGTCATAGTGAGATAGATGGAATTCGATTTTAAACACTGACAGCAGCAAAAACACCAACCCAGAAGAAGAATGCAGCCCGGTCTTGGGGTCCGGAGGCCCTGCTTCATGTCAAAAATAACAATAATGACGATAGCAATAGCAGTCTCCTCCACCGATGGGGATTCTCTCGGGTAGCCTTTGTTAGACTCTTCGGAGGTTCATCATCCTCTCCCTATCTTACAAATGAAGAAGCCAAGTCCTGGACGATTTCAACCACTTGCTCAAGACCACACTAACAGAAAGCAGAGCCAAGATTTGAGCTCAGGGCTCTCTGCCTCTAGCACTTAGGGTTTAACCCCAACACAACTCCGCTTATTAGCTGAGTGGCCTTGAGCCAGGTACTTCCTCTCTGCTCTTCAATTTTCCTACCTTTAAAAGGAGTTGACTCCAGGGTCCCTGAAGTCCCTTCCAGCTCTAACAACACAATGATTCCAGCCCAGAGTCTAAAAGAAAGGAGGCTCTGGGCAGGCTAACACCTTAACTCAATGTGTCCAGCAGCACCAGCCGTACCCCATGAAATGGCCAAAACTCCTAGAACCACATGTCTGCTATGCAGTCAGGGAAAGGGCTGGAAGGCCAGGGAGGGCAGGTCAGTGGCAGCATTCTGAAGAAGATGATCGCTTGTCCACTTGAAGCACCCTAGCCCTTCTCCTTCTTGGTGTCTCCGCCTCCCCAGTTTAGACTGAAATCTTGCCTGTGCATGTCCCCACTTTGCCACTGGCCTGGGAGGTTTTTTAAGGGCTAGCGATGGAGTCTTCTCCACAGTAAGCAATCAGTGTGGGCCCTGACTCCTTTTCTTTCATGTTCTCCCCAATGTGAAGGAATTCCTATTAGCCATGTGGAGCTATTTAAGTTTAAATTCATTAAAATTTTAAATTCAGTTCCTCAACCACACTAATCACGTGTCAATTGCTCAGCAGCTACACGTGGTTAATGGTGACTCCATTGGGCAGCATAGAGAGAGAACATTTCCATCATGGCATGTAGTTCTATGGTACAGGACCAGGAGCTGGGGTTCTGTCTGGGTCAGGAGCTCTGAAGGTGGACGGGATTTTCTGATTGGGCAAGAGGATGAGCGAGAAGTCAAATCAGCATCCTCCATGGTCTGTCCCACATATTAACTGGAGAGCTAGAAACTTGGAAAACCTCAAGCTGAGTATCAACCCTCCTGCACCCTCCCCCAGATGGTCGTCCAAATGCTAAGCTCAATCCATCCATGGAGAAAAGAAAAAGTCACAAGAAAAGTCAGGGCAGGGGATGTGTAATGCTGCCTCAAGCCACCGCTTCATCCTCGACTGCAAAGGCAGGGACAGCCGAGTTCCTTACCTGGGCTGGAGGAGTGTCCACTCTGGATGGCAGATTCCGTGCCAGGGTGCACCCAGCTGGTTGACTTTTCCTCATCACTACAGAAGACCAATAAGAAAGTGTCAGATACAAGAAGTCCTCCCTGAGTAGGACATCCCTCTCCAAATTCACATCAACACTGATTCACATTCACGAAGCATTGACTGAGCAGACGCTGAGGATTCAGTAATGAATAATATCTGACCCTGATCTCAAAGAATTTATAACCCACTGGGGAAACAGACATAGAAAAAGGTAGTTGCAATATGATAGGATAGGAAGTATACCCTATCCCTATTATAGCTACGTGTAGAGAGCATTATCCCACCACCGGGGAGGGAGTGCTAAGCGGGATGAAATTAAGGAAGAGGGACAGCATGAAGACTTCACTGAGGAGGTAGCATTTGAGGTGATTGGTGAAGTCTCTGGGGGGAACAGGGAAGGTCCTTAACTGGCAGCCTCTCAATGGATACGAAAAGAGGAGGCTGGGTCCCTGGGTGTCTACAATGCTAAACAGTTTCATTCACAACAGTCCCTCACGTTAGGAATTTTACAGATGATGAATCTGAGGTTCAGAGAGGTTAAGTAACTTGCCCCAAATCATACAACCAATAAGTGATGAAGCCACGATTCTAATATCTTACTTCCAGCAAAGTGGGCTCCCTACCACTGCAGATCCTCTGGGTCTGGATCGGAAGGCAGATGAATCCATCAACATTTCTCAATTCCCCCCTCAACCAAGTGATACTGAGGTTTCCAGAGCCAGGCGGGACCCAGCATGAAGCGCCTGACTTTCTTTTTTTTTTTTTAAGATTTTTTTTTTTT